GGAGGGGTGGCCGCATGGACGGGGGCGGCCCTTGACCTGCCCGGAGGGGCAGTGTCCACAAGGTGCATGCGTCCACAAGCCAGTGTCCAAGAGCCTCTCGTGGTCATCTACAGCATGCTCCCAGGGCTCCCCCAAGAGTATGTGGACCTGCTACGGAGGCGCGTGATGAACACAGAGCCAGGCGCTCATAAACCGGGTGCCTCCATTAGAACGCTCTGCCACGAGGGGGTGTCCCTCCTGCCTTTGCCACAGCACTGTGTGAAATGGTGCTAAAAGTAATAAGCAGCTGTAATTAATGTCCTTAATGTCAAAATGGAAAATTGGTGACCTTTACTGGTTCCCTCTAAAATTCCTGCTTGAGGTGATTTGAAGTTGAAAGCACGTGTGTAGGAGGGGTGCAGCCTCGGTGAGCCTCAGGGGTCCTTCTGTAAAATGCGGTGATAAAAGCACCTGGGGCAGGACCCACTGGCCATGGGCGGGCGGGGGTGTAATGACCACCAGCTGTCACGACCAGCCTGTGACACCCCCCCAAGTCCCAGGGTAACAAGTAAGGAGGTGTGGCTTCAGTTTAATTTTCAGAGAAGTCAGCTGGACAGACGTTTCCAAGGCTGAGCTAATGCATGCAAATTTCCCATTGTTCTCAAAATCACTTCTCATTCAAGGGTGGAACGAGGAGTCTGGGGCTCTGATTCCCCTGCAGGAGGAAGTGGAACGTTTCAAACAGGAAAAGCCGCTCTCCCTCTTGTTCTGGAGGCCCCGGTGCCTTTGTGATCCGACCCGTCGCTGCGCCGCCTCCAGGGGGGCTGCAAGTGCCGTCCCACGTGAGGGACGGTTGGCATCCGTGTGTCCAGTCGTCACAGTCTGCTGGCCGCAGGTCTGCCGGCTGGTTTCTCGGGGCCGCGGGGACAAAGCACCGCGCTCCGGCAGCTGGAACAACAGACATTCATTCCTTTACAGTCTGGAGCCTGACTCCAGGTCCGACAGGGCCGGGGGGCGGGGTGCTTCCGGCTTCCTCCAGCTCCTGGGGGCCCCACACGGTCCCTGGCCGGTGGCCACATCCCTCCAGTCTCTATCTGGGTTGTCACGTGACCCACTTCTCTTTGCGTGCGCAACTGTGTCCAAAATGGACCCCACCCCAATTCAGGATGACTTCGTCTTAGCGGATGACCTCTGCAGAGACCCCATTTCCAGATAAGGCCACACCCACAGGTCCCAAGGACCCAGGACCAGAGCTTGCCACGGTTCTGCCCACAAGGCTGCAGAGCCTGCCTGTCACCCACTTGGTGGCCTGACCAATGAGAGATGAGCCCTGAGGGCGGCAGGACTTGGGGGACATTGTGCGCCACCCCCACCCTGGCACCAGGCCCCGCTGGGCAAGCCAGGATTTTGGGGGACATGAAGACAAAAGCCGGTTCTGTAGGTGTCAGTGTCGACCCTGGGGGCCTTGGCGGCTGCGTGGCCATCGGTTCAGTGGCCCTTCAGGCTGTGGACCACCCCCCGTAATGGCCAGGCCACCTTCAGTCTTTACAAGTTTCTTCTGGTTCCGTCTGCCCTTGTCACCCAGGGACCAAGCAATCCTGCCTCTTTAGAAGGAACTCTGTGAAAGAGGCGTGAGCCCACGGTGGGCATCCCAGAAAGGAGGGAAGACGCGAGTCCCACGAGCCCCACCGGGAGGCGCTGATGGGCACGACTCCATAAAAGCGAAATCAGATCCACGGGTTTTTAATGGTCGGAGCTGTAACAGAGCTGGGGCTCCCACCGTTCCCCCAGCGGTGCCCCCCCCTGCCGCCCCGGGGAACAGCCTCTCAGAGCTGCTGCGGCTGCTCAGAGGTCAGCGGTCAGGCAGGGCCAGAGGGCACAGGGCGAGGCCCAGACGTGGCCAGCCCAGAACCCTTCCCTGGAGGCAGAGGCGGGCTCCACACGAAGCTCCTGCTTGGACACACGGCTCTCGTGTGGGGCCCCGGACGTCGCCGCACGTGGCGACGTGTGGCTGCTGGCCACGGTCCTGTGTCTGAAGCCCGTGCTACATGAAAATTGTTACTGATCATCCTTACCTCTCCACCCTGAAAGGTGCACAGAAAGTCAAGATCGAAGCCTAAAGCCAAACAAAATGCACGTGATTTGGGGGAATGAATAGTGTCTGGGAGAGCAAGGGAGGCTGCCTGTCCATGCCATGGAGGGGCGAGCGGCGTGGTCCGGCTGGGCCACGTGGCCTCCGTGGCTCGCTGATGCTCGGCCCACAGCCAGCAACAGGGTGGGTGGTGGAGGTAGGCTCGCGCCTCATTTCAGAACCAGCCTCCAGACCTGCTGTGGGGAGCTGGGTCGCCGCTGTAGAGCAAAATTAGCTGTTCTAAGTGACTTTGACAACGTTTGACAATGTAGAAACTACAGTGTAGCTATTTCTGTCCTTCTGGGGGTAATTCAACATCTTATTTTTTTAAATCTTTATTGTAAGAACACCATGCAATCTACCTTCGTGACAAAATTTTAAGTGTTGCTAACTAGGCACAGTGATGTACGGCGGACCTCTAGCTTATCCCTGTAAGTTTATACGTCTCTGTAACTGAAAAAATATATATATCAATGAAACTTACACCCCGTTGAGCAGAAGTCCCGGGAGAATGCTAACTTTTCCTTTAACCGGCTAGGGACTGGACAGACGCTGTCTAAAGTGACACTTCCAGAAATAGAGCTGAAAGTGTTCCTCCTAAGGTCACAAACGTAACCCCGGAATAACCGAGAATAAAGGCGCAGCGCGGAAGAGTGGAGGGAGGCCGGCGGACGGACTGAGCCTCAGGCTCCGCGCAGACGTCCCGGAGGCTGTGCCGGCCGACAAAGCCAGAGCCAGACCCTGAAGTTACCGCGCGTGCGGGCACAGCCTGCAAAAGCCCGTCCTTTGCAGACTGGGGCTTGCCCAGGACACCCCAACTCTGCCTTTTCCTAGCTTTCCGCACCGTCGGGAGGTTCTCACATGGGCGTGTCTCACTTTGACAAGCCAGAAAGTGACGTGAAGCAGTCCCGTGAGTTTTCAGGACCTGACCCCGCACGAGCTGGGTCCTCCCTCTTCTCCAGCCCTGTCCGCCCCACCCCGAACCCACGCCCCTCGGGGTCCCCCAACCCTCAGGCCCCACCCCCTCCGGAACCCACCCAGGCCCCGCCCCCAGCCCCGCCCAGACCCCGGACCCACCCC